CATCCGTCATGCCTATCGGCAGGTCACTGGATAATTCTAAAAATTAAAAACAAAAAGGAAACTTCAGTGGGGCTTATAGCTAAAAGAGAAAACCGTCGATCTGCACAGGAACAAACGAGGAACTTACGCGGAACATAATATCTGATAGATGTCGTTGTAGGCCCTTCATAGGTGAACTCACGAGAGCCAGAAAATGAGCTGCATGTGTCCAGGGAACCGTTATACTTTAGAATTACGTGCGTTGTTAAATCATGGAGTTTTCCGTCAGCATGTGTTTTGAGTGAATCAAGATTAAATGTCATTCTAAGGTCGACATGGTGAGAAGCACATGAATCCACGTAAGCACTTTACTATTGCCAAGGATAGGAAAGAGATCTAGATTTTAAATAAATCCTACCTCACAAACTGAAAATGCCAAAACAAAAGAGAACAAAGGCTGCCATCGCCTCGTTGGAAAGTGACACATTCCCACTATAACAGCCGATTTAAACCCGCTCGTGGGTTATTTACCGTATCGCTGAGGGATCGTAACAACATGCCTCTTTATTGTACGTCAAAGTATCACTAGGTAGCTTTTATGAGATTCCCAAGATATACCACAACTTTGAGATGAATAATTAATTAATTGTGGAATCTGCTTTCATAGACCTTATTAAGGATGTAAATTGGATGAGATCTTTAGCTTTAGTACTAAAAATGACAGTGAAGTGCAAGAGGTCTTATAAGTTTTTAACATGTTATTAACAACGAACTTAAATCGAACTCAAATCCTAAATCAACGAACTTAAATCTTAAACATTTATTTTGGAGCAAATGGACCCTATCACGGTCTCGGTTTTTTTTTTTTTTTTTAACTTTTGATAAAGTGCAATAAGATATAAGCGAATATTCATCGACACTACTAAAAAGAGGACTTTAGCCCTCGGACGTATACGCAAAATCGTACCCCAACTGTGGTACAAGGAAGGGGTTGTGTTCAAATCGCGGCTACAACAAAACCTTCTTCGTCACTACTTATAATCCAGCATTACCCAACTTTGCGCATATCATTCACAAGCATTCTAACGTGTTATACTCATCAGATCGCTGTAGAAATGTTTTTAAAAACCTTCCGTTAGTAGCTTATCGCTGTTGTAAAAATATTAACGATATCCTAGTTAGAGCCCAGCTTACCAAGAGCACCGACACCAGTAACTCCCGACCCACCCCCGGTTCCTTTCGGTGCAACAACAGGAATTGCACCACCTGTCCCTATATTGAACATGGCCGTAATTAATACACTTTTCACTCTACAGGTGAGACCCACCACATCAAATCTCATATCGCTTGTGAAACTTTTAATGTTATCTATCTGATTCAATGTCGAGTGTGTAAACAATAACACATTGGAAAAACTAAACGTCGCCTCAAAGACCGTTTTAATGAACACAGACAACCTATACTCAACCCTACTGGTAATTACATCCATACTGCAGATTCAGAACACTTTCTTACCAGCAATCATTCCGACAATCATATGCTTTTGATTCCTATTGAAAAACTGAAAAATGGGTGTGATTCTTTCAGGAAAGCACGTGAAGCCCACCTTATCCATAAAGCTAAGACAATTGAGCCTCTGGGCATCAATAAACGTGGTGAACTGTAACTATATATTATATATCTTTTATTTTTTTGTTATCTTGTCTTTTTAAGTAGCCACACCATACCACGTCATATTATGTAATTTCCGGTCATTATTTTACTTCACATATATTCAGTAAATTCGTGATATCTCAATAAACCTGATGAAGACTGGTATTGGCCAGTCGAAATATCGCAACTTAATTCTATTTCGCGTTCTTTGATCAGTCCCTGCAAAAGTCTTCTCGGCTGTAACGTTTTCAACGTTTTCTTGATGACGTCAGGTGTTAACGTGATGTGCATGGCAGTGGGTGTTACTCTAGTGGCGTAGGTCGTCAGGTCTTCATTTAAGATGGGTAGCCCCCTGCATTTTAATTACTCTTGTAACAGTAAACAGTTTACCAGAAAGGTAAAATTAAACTAATCATTTTAATCATAGAGTTTAAAATCACAAGCCATAATGAGCACAACAGGCACAACAGCTAAATTTTTGCCCCCGTTTTGAACAGAAAGATGTGAATTATATTGTCTCTGGTGACCGTCGGCAAAGAGGGACAGAATGATGTGGAATCAAGAATGCCCCATGAGCTACTTCTCCGGGACTTCTTTCTCCTCCACGCCTAAAGGGTTGTGTGGTCGCTGTTATTTAGGTCTATTTTTTTCCTTTGGTTTGTCACAGTTATCTGTCAAGGAAATGCATTGGCAGAAATGTGCAAATTTTCTTCGACAATTTCTCGGTTAAAAGAGCAAATATGAGGGGAACAAATTATTTTTTTTCCTCCACCTCCGCCGTTTAAGGCGTAAACAGACGAAAAGTGTTATAAGGGATGTCATGATGTTATGCGAGTTTGTCGCGATATCGGAGGTTAACTGACCGGTC